CCTTGTTTTATTTGAAGCTTCAAAAAAAAAATCAAAATTTTCCAGTGTGTGCAATTCTGTAAAGTCGAGGTAAAATCAAAAGAATCTATTTTAGGAAAGAAAACTGGATACTTACATTAAATATAAATGCACTGTAAAAGTAAAAGTTTTTTCAAAGTCATTTTTTAAGTTGACAGATTTTGTTCATCAAACTTAACATGTTAAGTTTTCACAGTCTCAACTACAGTGTAAAATAAGATTTTTTAAAAAGTTGTAAAGAAAAAGATTATTGGAGTATGCGTTACAAGAAAATACTATTTCAGTCTTTCTGCTTCAAAATTTTATGTTTAATGGGTTACTTGGTGTCTCTTTGTAATTATTTGTAAAATGTACTAGCAATTTCTGAGTGAAAATGCATGGTTTCTGAAATGTTCTTTCAAAGCACATTTTATATAGAAGGTGTTTTTTCCGTAAATTTCATATTTGTTCAATTCAAATTTTGTGTTTTTGAAATCTTTAAATAAAATAAAATAATTATTTATGTGGTTGTACTAAGAAATCCGTTTGAATAAACATGTAGTGAAAACTTGAAAAAGTATTTTTATACAATGAAAAATTCCTTTTCAAAGTTGTCAATAAAATAAAAATTATTGGATGTTTTACAAGACAATATACCATGTCAGTTTTTCTACTTCAAAATGTCATGCTTAATGTGTTCTTTGTAATTATTTGTTTGGGTCAAAGTTTGCACAGTATCAACAGTAAATAATACTTAAATACGTAAAAAAATACATTATATACTTAGTAGTAAATACAAATGCAACAAATACTACTTCAGTATTTCTACTTCAAAATTTCATGTTGAATTCATTTTGTTACTTTTCATTTCTTTGTAATTACCGGTACTTAGCTATTTCAGTGTGAAAATCGTTTCAAATTCCATTATTTTATTTTATTTTTTCAGTGCAGCGGTTTAATTTATGGAAACACAATGATTTTAGCTTCCCACCTTCGAGTTCCCATCCAGTCTGGTTGTTTACTTGAGCAAACCTGTGTGAGACGACCTTATCAAAACGACATCTGCAAATACACACTGACAGGCCTTTAGAGAGCGCTAGACTAAAGCTCGCTCATAAATCAAGCCCTGATTCCATCAGACTGCCCACAATGTGCATCTGAGCCATAAGAGAGATCAAATCAATATTTCACCCTTAAATATTTATGTTGTTCAGAAACATCACATGACAGAAGTGGGTAAACTTGCACTGGTTGAGGTCAAGATCAGGTTAGCTGATGTTTTTGCTCATTAGCACAATCTATGTGTTTGGGGAAAGCAGCAGAAAACAGTTTGGCTTTTCCAGGCATCCGTAAATGTGCTTCATGCACCAGTGCAGCAAATATTAAAAATGCACAGAGAACAGAAGTTTCACAGCGAGGCTCATGCTGCTCAGCACATTAAATATGAAGATGTTACAAGACAGCCGTCCTGGATTTCACATTGTTTGAGGACGCAAAACAGACAGTGAAGAGGAATGACTCTCACAATCAGAGAATCATCAAAGTGTGATCAAATAAAGTTCAAAATGAGGCATCATTCATTAATCGTCTTTAAAGCAATAGTTCACCCAAAATGAGATTTACAGACAATGTCCTTCCCCACAGGCCATCCAAGATGTAGATGAGTTTGTTTCTTCATCAGATTTGGAGAAATGTAGCATTGCATCACTTGCTCAGCAATGGATGCTCTGCAGTGAATGGGTGCCGTCAGAATGAGAGTCCAAACAGCTGATAAAAACATCACAATAATCCACAAGTAATCACAGCACTCCAGTCCATCAGTTAACATCTTGTGTAGGAAAAAGCTGAGTGTTTGAAATAAACTAATCCATCAAGACGTTTTTAACTTCAAACCGTTGCTTCCGGCTAAAATACGAGTCTGTAATCCATAATAACGCTTCCTCCAGTGGAAAAGTCCATCTCCATTGTCTCTCACATCAAAATCCAGCCACATATTTGTTTCGAGCTGTTTTGGACTGTTTTGGCTTGTAAACGCTGCTTGATCTGTACAGATTTCTCTCCTGATTCAGACCAGACCACTTTTTCACTGGAGGAAGCGTTATTATGGATAATGGACTCATATTTTAGTTGAAAACATCTTAATGCTGGATTTGTTTCAGCTTTTGTCTTCTCCAGATGTTAACTGATGGTCTGGAGTGCTGTGGATTACTTGTGGATTATTGTGATGTTTTTATCAGCTGTTTGGACTCTCATTCTGACGGCACCCATTCACTGCAGAGCATCCATTGCTGAGACACTGATGCAATGCTACATTTATCCAAATCTGATGAAGAAACAAACTCATTTTCCTTTTTGGGTGAACTATTCCTTTTAAGCAAATGATTTAATACAAGTTTAATACAGATGAGCCACAGTAATAGCGATGCAATTAATTTCTTAAATATGGCTAAATAAAAATAGCCTCAATTTATTTATAATGTCTTTATTAGCATTTCTAAAATTGGAAGTCTTAAAAATGAATCAATTAGTATTTCTTCATTTAAAATCACATGAAGGCAAGTGAAGCACTTTATAATCACAACACCACTTATAAAGGCATCATTTACAAAAATAAACCATGTTTGAATTTTATAAACAATACAGGATGTGTGTGTAATCATCAAATATCACTAAATAAGAAATCTCTGAATGTCTGGTCTTAGTTTGTTTTCTCTCACTAATGGGATTGAATTGAGCGTCCTTTGGGAAATCAGCTGAGAAACAGAGTGACTTTAAAGTCCTTGCCACCAATTTCATGAGTAAACGTCCTGTAAAACACACATATATACAGAGCAAAGCTTCAAACTGGCCATCCTCAAACTCTTCAATGATGCTCTGTGTGTAGGGTTCTTCCCTGAGATCTGGAACCAGGGCCTCATCAGCCCCATTTACAAGAACGGGGACAAACTGGAGCCCAACAACTACCGAGGCATCTGTGTGAACAGTAACCTGGGGAAGGTTTTCTGTAGCATCTTAAACACAAGACTGTCAGACTTCCTTATGAAACACAATGCCTTGAATAAATCCTCCCAAAATGTTGAACTTCTGATCACATTTTTACACTACAAACACTAATTGATAAATATGTACATCAAAACAAAAGTCAAATTTTCGCCTGTTTTATTGATTTCAAGAAAGCATTCGACTCAATCTGGCATGAAGGATTATTCCTAAAACT